ATCTTTCCAACAGTATGTCTAGAATAGGAATGTAATAGTATAGTCAATTAACCTATTAACCAATAAGAAAAAGCTTATAGGTTAATGTTATAGACTACACACATTTCCCCCTTCCCTAACACCATTTCCAGTATTTTTAGCAGGCTGGCCAGCAGCCCTGCTCAGTCCTGGCTTGCATCAGGTCCAGGACCAACCCCAGCGGTGGCTCTGCATTTAAAGTGTATTAAGAGCTGGGTGGGCAGGCTACCCAGCTCTGTTCCGGCTTGTGCTGGTTCCGGGAGCTCAGACTCCCCCTAGACAGGGGCTTCTGTCACCCCATACTGCTGCCTCTTGCGGACCAGCTCCCGCCTGGCTCCCCTCAGAGGCAGCAGTGTGGAGTGGCAGGGGGCTCCTTAGAAATGAGGCTGGATCACACTGGCTGCCAGCCCCACCCCCAGCGACTACAGAATAGTCGACTAAATGGTAAGTATTCATGAGGTTACTCAACTATTCAATTAACTGATATTTAACATTCCTAGTCTAGAACACAGATTTATTAGGCATAAAGTTACAAACTTGGCAAGTAACTTAGTTTCTCTGTTTGGCTCTCATATATAGTGTTGGTTAGCAGACATTCATACCCTGGGCCACCTATGACACAAGAACTTGGGCTTCTATGCAGCGATAACACTGTGCTGCCCTAGCAGGAAGTGCTGTGATGCTGTTTGTCAGATAATTTTTTAAACAAATCTCTACTGCATGTCTCTGATGGCTGCCCAGGTGGCCAGGGAGTCTCAGGTGGAAGCCCAGGCCTCAGAGCTGTCTGGAGACTGCCACATATGTTCCAGGTGACCATTTAAAGGGTTCAGGGCTCTGACCTCCACCGCTGCCACAGTAGCAGCAGCAGCAGTCGCTGGGATGCCTGGGCCTCTTTGAATTGCTGGACATGGGGCACTTGTCCCTTTTACCCAACCCCCACCACCCAGCAGGTCTGCTTTTAACAAAGCAGGATCTGATATTCCAGGCAGTATGGGAGCTAGTGCTAAGCTCATACACTAAATAGCTATAATACTTATTTCACATTTATAGTATGACCAGCACTTAACTCATTTCCAAGTGTTTACAAAGAACTAACTTGAGTGTTAAAGAAGCCATATAAGACCAAAAGTTGTGGTATATATTTTTAGAGTATTTAGCATCCCAAAACTACATTAATAGAATGAGGAGGCTGCGTATCAAACGTCAGGAAATGCAAAAACTCAGAAGGCCGCCGTCTGTGCCATCTCAAAGGGTCACTGTCAACTTGGATCTGTTTAGTTGACTAATTTAAACTATTCCAGGTTGTGACAGAACATCCTTTAAATAGTTTAGCTTGATTTGTTTGTTTTGTTGTATTTTTGGTAACCCTTCAAAAATGTGGTTGAGATTTTTCTGTTGCTTTCTTAAGGATATGAGGGTATTTTCAGCAAAAAGAGAGCAACTATAACTTTGATCCTGCAAACACTTATATACATAAATTTTAGTCTGGCAAGAATTCTGCAATTATTGCATTTAGAGCCTTAGAAGGCAGAATCCCTCCAGGACTGACAAATAAAATTAAGCATGGGCATAAATGTTTGGTGGCTCAGGCAGTCAATAAGCAAACTGAAAAAATTAGAGGTGTTTTGTTTTTAATTTCCCTCTGTTTTAATAATCTTAGGTGTTGAAATGTATCTACTTGAGTTACAGTTATGTTTTAAAATTGATTTTTCAAGCTAAGGGTCCCTTATTTAGAAAATACTGGATATTTATATTTTCTCAATTTGTTTCCTGAACAGAAAGTTCAAATACTGGACTGTCCGGTTCAAAACTGGACACCTGGCAACTCTAGTATCTGATTGAGACATCTAAGGCTCGAGTTTCCAAATGAAGCCAATGGAGGCTGCAGGATCTGAAATTCAGATCCTAAGCATTTCAGGTTAGGCAATCTAGAATCATTACATACAGTTGAAAAATGTGGTCAAAATACTTCTGGGAAAGCACTCTTTCTCTTTACAAATGGCTTTTATTTTTTTATGTAATATTTTCTTAAAACAAAGGGTTTTTTTTTTTAAGTTTGATTTTTTTTTTAGTTGCTTCATGCTTTGTGCTATACTAGTTTAGAAGATAAGCAGCACATTCTGGTGTATTATTGATGCTTTTGTACCCCTCTGCTCTTTGGAAGACTCTTCCTATAGTGGAGAGTCAGAGTTGAACTTTCTGAGCCCCCTCTTCAAGTGGAAACCCTACCCTACTTCCTACCAAGGAGTTAATATTGTGCTTTCTGCTGTTGAGTGATTTGCTACTGGTATATTTTGGGATGTGTGTGTGAAAATATTCTAGCTCAGTGCTTTATATTACTACTACTTGCTAGGTTGGAAGAATGAGGTGTCAACAGGCTAACAGTTTACCCATAGGTTACGTCTAGACTGGCATGATTTTGCGCAAATGCTTTTAACGGAAAAGTTTTTCCGTTAAAAGCATTTGTGGAAAAGAGCGTCTAGATTGGCACAAACACTTTTCCAAAAAAGCACTTTTTGCAGAAAAGTGTCCATGCCAATCTAGACACGGTTTTGCGCAAGAAAGCCCCGATCGCCATTTTCGCGATCGGAGCTTTTTTTGTGCAAAACAGTATCACGTTTTCTACACTGGCCCTCTTGTGCAAAAGCATTTGCGCAAGAGGGCTTTTGCCCAAACGGGAGCAGCATAGCATTTCCGCAAGAACACTGACAATCTTACTGGAGATCGTCAGTGTTCTTGCAGAAATTCAAGCGGCCAGTGTAGAGAGCTGGCAAGTTTTTCCACAAAAGCAGCTGCTTTTGCGGAAAAACTTGCCAGTCTAGATGCAGCCATAGGGTTTCAGCTCTGACGAGGGTAAGATGACAGTTGAGAATGGCTGAGTGGTTATGGGGCCTCATCAGTGAAGTGGAATCAGTCTCTAGGAGTATGTCTACACTGCAGAGTTTTTCTGCAAAAACTACACTTAAGTCCACACTGCAAATGCATTTTTTTGACAGAAAAATCAAAAGAATGCAGAGGTTTTTCCGACAGCGGTAAAGCTCTTTCTATGAGGAAGAAGCCTTTTTCTGAAAGAACTCTTTCAGAAAATGCGTGTGTGGATGGTGTAGAGGGTTTTGTTTTGTTTTTTAGAAAGAAGAGGCCTCCAGGAAAAAGCACAGGTGCCCCAGTGGCAACTCCATCCATAGTAATCACAACTTAAATATGAGATAGCGTCCACGTTGATTGGAAGCTATCTTTTGAAAAAGCAGATCGCTTTTTCAATGCACGTTTGCTGTGTGGACAATCTCTTTTGAAAGAAGTTTTTCCGGAAGATCTCTTCCGGAAAAGCTTCTTCCGAAAGAAGCCTGTAGTCTAGACGTAGCCTGAATGAAAGAAGGCAGGGCAAGGACGAGAGGCCTGTGTGTGGGGATGCTATGGGATAAGAAGTCATGAGGGCGCATCACTGTGTGAGCAAGGGAAGAGAAGGCAGCTCCTTATAGGCACATTTACGCTTCAGGGCAAAAGTCAAATTATGCTATGCAACTTGAGCAAAGTCAAATGTTTGGGTCAAGGAGATGTGCATAGGCCCTGGGAAGATTGTAGCCTGGTAAAACAACTATGGGCAAAGAGGGGCTGGCTGGAAGGAGTCTATGGAGCAGGGGAGTGAGGGAAAGGTTGTGAGGAGCAGGGCTGGAGGGCATAGAAGGAAGGGGCTCAGGGGCAGGCGCTGAGAGAGGGCAGGCTAGGGGAAGCAAAGAGTAGAAGTGGAGCTGTCTGAGGAGGGAAAGGAGTTTTGAGGATGCGAGTGAAAGGGGAGCAAGGGAGGGGCTTATAGAAAAGGGGCGGGGTTACATACCGCACCCTCTGAGTTGTCTGGATGACGTTTAGTCGCGCCGTGACGTCAAGGTGTTTCCCCGTGACATCAGACGGCCCATGCGCAGTGACAGCGGCGACTGTTTCGGGTGACGTCACGGGCCGGGGGTGACGTGTGGCTGGGGGGGGCGCGGGGGGCGCCCCAGGCTGG